GGGGGGAGGGGGAGCCTGATTTCATGGTTTTAAAACGATGCCATGATCTGATCAGCCTCTGTTTACACAGCAGCAATCAGGCTCTTTTGTGGACGGTAAGAATGGAAGGATTTTGCTGGGATTCAGTGGGAATATCCTTTGTACACCCGAGGTGGCATAGGAAACACTTCGTGTGAATAACGAAGGAGCCTGATCGTGCCTGCTGTGGCTCCTGTCCCTGGCTCTGGAGGGAGAAAAAAAACAACAAAAAAACCCCAGCAGCAGCAGCCAGTTCTTTATTTTCTTTTATTGCATGAAATGTGTTCCGGTACGATTCACTGGGAGGATTAGTGGGAATCGTGGGGCCCTAATTAGCTAAAAAAATCAATTTATTATACGTTTATTTAAGCATAACCAAAACCAGCCCTCCCGAAAGGATGGGCATTATATCTTGGGTGTGTTGCCTATTTTTGCTCAGTATTTACACTGACCGTTGCTTATTATGAATTATATTGAAGCTTTAAAGATTTCCATTTACCAGCCCTCCCGAAAGGATGGGCATTATATATCTTGGGTGTTGCCTATTTTTGCTCAGTATTTACACTGACCGTTGCTTATTATGAATTATATTGAAGCGCTAAAGATTTGCATTAAAGTGGGGGGGGGGGGCTCTTACAATGTGCATGAACTAACACAGTGTGATTAATGTGCTTTGGTGACTTGGGTTAAAAAACATAAATTCTGCAGGGTTTCTTTGGGTGTGATCCGTATCAACACAGCGCCTGCCTCTAAAACGTTGACAAATACTGTAGCCATAAAATAAATGTAGGTAATGTCAAAATATCAGCAGTCTTTGGGGATGTTTTTAAAAGATGTCAGTGATTAACTCTTGGGCTTGCAAACTGGGAACGTTTTGATTCATAAAATCTCTGAGGCTTTAACTGTAAAATTATATATGCTACCAAATATAAGGGGCACCGGTCAGTTCTGAAACTGTAACAAGCTAAATCTGTGAAATGCCAATAATCAATCATGCTAAACAGTAAGTAAAAAAAAAAGCCTCATGATTTTTAAAAACAAACAATAGTACTCAAATTTACAACTTCATTTGGTTCTCCATAAATTAACATCTTTGTTAGCACTTTCTGACATCATTTCTTGTTAACTTAAGAACTGATAGCTCGATTTTTTTTCAGATATTTTGATGGCATGACAAATCAGAAAGAAGAGGATGTACTGTATGACTAGACACAAGATCAGTTCTGTTTGTGGATTACATTTTCAGTAAGATGTATGGATCTATTTTTTCCTTGTTCTTATATATAGATCATGAGACTTGACTGAGGCAATATACATATCATCCATCCATCTATGGCGAACTACAGCCATGCAGCTGACAACATTTTACAAAATCTCTCTCCTTTAACAGCTTTTCTGAAACTGACTTCACTGGGTTTCATAATAGGAGTCAGTGTGGTGGGTAACCTTCTGATCTCCATTTTGCTAGTCAAAGATAAGACCTTGCATAGAGCTCCTTACTACTTCCTGTTGGATCTTTGCTGCTCAGATATCCTCAGATCTGCAATTTGTTTCCCATTTGTTTTCACCTCTGTAAAAAATGGCTCTACTTGGACGTATGGGACTCTTACTTGCAAAGTGATTGCCTTTTTGGGGGTTTTGTCCTGCTTTCACACTGCTTTCATGCTATTCTGCATAAGTGTCACGAGATACTTAGCTATTGCCCACCACCGTTTTTATACGAAAAGGCTGACCTTCTGGACTTGTTTGGCTGTTATCTGTATGGTGTGGACCCTCTCTGTAGCCATGGCTTTCCCCCCAGTTTTAGATGTGGGCACCTACTCGTTCATTAGGGAGGAAGACCAATGCACTTTCCAGCATCGTTCCTTCAGGGCTAATGATTCCTTGGGATTTATGCTTCTTCTTGCCCTTATCCTCCTAGCCACACAGCTTGTCTACCTCAAGCTGATATTTTTTGTTCACGATCGCAGGAAAATGAAGCCAGTCCAGTTTGTTGCAGCAGTGAGCCAGAACTGGACTTTTCATGGTCCTGGAGCGAGTGGTCAAGCAGCTGCTAATTGGCTGGCTGGATTTGGAAGGGGTCCCACACCTCCAACCTTGTTGGGAATCAGGCAAAATGCGAACACCACAGGCAGGAGAAGGCTACTGGTTTTAGATGAGTTCAAAATGGAGAAGAGAATCAGCAGAATGTTCTACATCATGACATTCCTCTTTCTGACCTTGTGGGGTCCCTATTTGGTAGCCTGTTACTGGAGAGTTTTTGCAAGAGGGCCTGTAGTACCAGGGGGATTTCTAACGGCTGCTGTCTGGATGAGTTTTGCCCAAGCTGGAATCAATCCTTTTGTCTGCATTTTCTCCAACAGGGAGCTGAGGCGCTGTTTCAGCACAACCCTTCTTTACTGCAGAAAATCCAGGTTACCAAGGGAACCTTACTGTGTTATATGAGGGAGCATCTGTAAATCTTTAGCCTTGTGAAACACTACCATTCTCTGCTAAGCAATTGTGGCCTGTAGCCATGTCTTGAGAAGAAAATCAAGAATGGGATGTCAGCAGTTGTAAGGATTTGGGCAACATTCTGCAGTCTTTGCAATAGCTCACCTCTAATCCTATTTTAAACTAAAACGTGTTCCTGCTGACCACTGCTGAAGGTTTGTAATTAAGAACAAAGGACTGAACTACTGCCCTGAATTCCTTTATGTGGTTGAAATCTAGATTACGAAAGTAGCAGGTGCTAAGTATCAGTGCTAAATGCTGTGTATATCACTACATAAAATAAGACCATCAAAAAGATTAGCATTGGACATCTTAATAAATTAAGTTGATATGAGGTTAATGTGTTGATAAAACTAATTTTAGACATCTGAAGACCTTTAAAACATTTCATACAATTATTGTTTTGCAAAGACTGAAAACTGGGGACTCAAGTACTGTAACTGATTAAAGATGTGCCATGCATTATTGGATTATCACACTTACAACTCTGTTTGCCTTGTGAGTAAGTTTTGGGGAGCATTCCAAAGCAGTATTTTTGTTCAGATTTAGACTTTACTTTTTTTTCCCAATATATTACTCTTTCTAAATACCATTTTCGTTAACAGTGAAATTACTAACATTTAACTGTATTATGTGGGTTTTGCTGATTTGGTATAAAGTTTAATAGACTCTTATTTATATTTTTTAAAAAGCTAGATATCAGTCTGTTAGGCAACGTTAATGATAATATCCAGTCATAATTGAACAGTTATAATTATACAGAATAAACACATGTTGCCTTAAAGGGTTATCTAGTATCTTCCATTTTGTTTAGCATTGAAGCAAATAAGCAAGGAAAATTGAATCAATAACTCTGGTCAGTCATTTGGGAGTGCATGAAAGATCACTTAGTCCTCTTTTTTCCTTTTTACTCCAATGGTTCCCAAAATCAGTATGCACATCACTGGGGTGATACGATTTTTTTCTAGGTGTGCCGCCCTTTCTAGTTTGTTCTGAGAAATACAGGCAGTTGATGTATGTTTATATTTTAAGACAGCTGTCATGGGGAGACCGCAGCCTTAGTATGATATCTTGCACAATTTGTGAAGCATTTATTCTACTGAAGGCACAGTCTTGTTTATATTTTCTGCACATTTTGGTGTATTGGTTGTTTTAAATTATTTAAGTTTTAACTTGTGAAAGCATATAATATGATTTCTTAGTATTTTAGAAATACATTAGAGTCTGTGAGTCTTTCCTTCTTTAAGATACAGATGTGTGGATTTCAATATAAAGTTGCATTTGCCAAAATTTACCTGTGTAGCTTGTTAATTTTCTTGGAATAAAATTTTACATTTTTCCAGTTATACAATTAACCTTTTTTATTTTGTCTAGTGAGCTAGCATGAAGTACGGAGAATGTAGCCATTATGAATTATTATCCTTTGCAGTCACTGTATTCCCAAACTGTAAATGCATGAATGATGGGGACCACAGGATTGATAAATTATATTATCTACAGTAGCACTATTGTGTAGTTTATCATAATTACCCATATATCTGTTCTAATATGTCAGTTATATTTAAAGTTACAACACAGTATTTGACATTAACTTCACAGTTTAATTTTGGAAAATGTGTATATTTGAAGCACAACATCATGAGTTGGTCAATCATAAAGAACATGGATTTTTCTTAATTTTTGGAGAGACAAGACTAGAGGTCTTAATTCAGTATTGGTATATCTTGTCCTTTGTTGTAGTTTTATGACCAGCAAGTTAATATATACATACACAAGCAGCAGTCGATAATGGAAATGCTTAAATTTGTATGATAACATTATACAACATATGCAACAATTCAGAGAGTTGTGTCTATATGTGATCAGACAACTTGATCAAAGATTTAGTGAGCAATCTGTTTGACCTCACTTACACTTTTATACTGAGGTTGATTGGTTGAGAGGCATGGCTTTATATACTGTGTTGAAACAGAAAAATTGCTAAAATAATGAGTCCTCATCAGTACAAGAATGTTTCAGAACATAATTTGAAACGGGACCAATAAACTTCTACCAAAAGGACTTTTTTATTACACTGAAAAAGGCTTTGAAATTAAGGTAGTTAAGCAATTGTCAAAGACAGCAGGAGTGAATAAAAACTGAATTGTATGTTGAGAAAAATTCTGAAAGTTATCCCACTTAAGTTTATTAAAAGGTTGATTGGCAATAACTTCAGTCTAATTTCTATAAAATAGTAACCTTTACAAGGAACATTGATATTACATATTGTAATAAAGAAGTACATATAAATAAAGTTGTAAATAGTGTTATAGTTGTAGAAGTAGTCGGTTCTGAAGATTAGCCAGAAAATTTTCAACTATGAAATTTCAAAAGCTGCAAATTTGGGGCCTGACCTAACTCCTAATAAAGTCAGTTGGTGTTTTCTGATAAACTTCATTTGGAGCAGAAGCAGGCTCTAGCATTTCTATAGTACTATGCTTCTGAAATACTAAGAAGGCTGTATTTACTATGCAGTGGGAAAGGAAAAAAAAAATTAAAATTATTTCCCTGGAAGTTTTGCAAGCAGTAACTGATGTAAACTAAAATAATAAACAGTAAACAAGTCTGAAAGCAAATATTTTGCTAAATGTTTTTCTTTTGATAGCAATATAATTCCGTTGGCTAACTGAAAAATACACAACTGTATTACTGCCTGACAGAGGAGAGGTACTTTTTTTTAAGTGAATTTTTATAATTGTTCCAGTAAGAAGTCTTGTGACCAAAGTGTTTCCTTTTATTTTCTCCAGTGTTAAAAGAACAAGGGGATGTTCAGTGAAATTAAAAGGCAACATAGGAAGTAACGTTTTATGCAAAGTTTTTACTCGGCGAAACTCACTGGCACAGGATGTCAAGTAGTTTAGAGATATTCCTGCAAGAATTATATGTATACATGAATTAAAGCAGTGCTTGCAGTTTTTGTCATCGGTGTCATTTTGATCCTAGTCAGCATATCAAACCTAATGTATTAGGGTAAAATTTCAAAGGAGCAAGAAGGTTTGTTCCAATTCGGTACACTGTTGTGTCACGGTATAAAAAGCCTTTCGCTTTCATTTTAGTACAGGAGTTAAGCTGTTCCCAAAGCTAGAATACAGGGCTGGTAGGTTACTCTTTTCAGAATAGCAAGGATCACACTATTTTATATCTGCATTGATCTTTAATGCTCACGGGTAATGTGAAGTTAGTAGTTTTAATTTTCCTGGTGGCAGAAAAAAAAAGAGTAAGAACAGATTCCCTGGAGAAAAGGCTGTCTGCCCCTGTTGCTTTCCTGCCCTCTGTTGCCCCACTGGCCCTTTGGCAGCCTCTCCATCAATCCTTCTTCAAGATTAAAGGTTTTATATACTGAGTCTTATATTTCTCCTGCTCCTTAAGAAGTGTCTCAGCCATCCCTCCTCCCCAATAGATAAGCTCCTGCAGCAGCTTCCCGAGGTTTGTCAGTGTCTGGGTTCCCTTCCTGAAGACAGAGAGAGACCGCCAGTTCCTTCCAGCTGCCTTTGTAGTTCATGGAGTCATCTTTCCATGACGCTTGGCGAGCGCACTGGGTACCTCTGTCTTTTGGCTTTGGTCGTGAAGTACATGCTATCTAGGTTACACAGAGAAAAATGAGGATGGGGAGGGGGCAGCAGGAAACAACTTCCCCTCTCCCAGCTCCTTCATAAAGAAACCACTGTTATTGTTGCATTGCCCAAGAGCATATAATTTTTTTAAAGCTTGTTTGGTGCTAGTGACCCTCTACATGAATAAAATGTACAGTTAGCCAATTAATGCTGATTAATTGGCTAATTAATGCTGGTTTTGGTACAGCTACAAAATATTATTACAAAACAGCTTTCCGTCAGTCTCTAGCCCTTGGGGGCAGAGTCCACTGTATCTATCTCCTTTTAAGTGCATTGAGTTTGTTCACTTGTATTGTCTTTGCTTTGGCTTTCAAGCATGTGAACATTTTACTTATATTAATAGGAGTCCAGTATTGCAGCAAGCTGTTATTACTCATGGGTTTAAAAAATAAAGTAAAAGGGAACTCTGATGATTTTCGAGGTAAATTAGAGAGGTATTTGACAAATAATTGTTTTTTAGCAAATGTCGAATAAAACTGTGGGTTGCTGGGCTCTTTTATAGTTACACAGTCAGCTCTCAATTGTTGAAAATAGAAATGGAGTAGACTAACCCGCGTAAAGCTAAAACATAGGTAATACAAAGCATATGCACATTAGATAAGAACTTCCTGTGTTTATTACATTTATCGAGGAATGAAGTTAAGCTGAAGTAAAAAGTGAGATCAGAAATTCAAAGAAAAATGGTGGGTGTTTTTCCTTTTTTTCTGCTTTGATTTAGCATAGCACTGCTAATCTGCAACCTGGGTTACACACCCACAGACAACCAAGAGTTGACTGTACAATTCTGCATACCACATAGACAACTTCCTTCTAGTTTATATTCATTGAGAGCTGTATAAGTGCACACTAATCTGATTGACTTTTCAGAGAAAAGAGAAGTCTCAGTCTGAGATACTGTTCTTCAAAACTAAAATTCAGTATATGTTCTCTGCTTTTGTTTACTGAAGTGATTTTGAGTGTGAAGAAATCAGTGATCTAAATCAGTAATGATCATAAGCGTTCTCTGGCCATGACCATTAACAACAGGACAAGATGACATTTTGCAATGCATATGACGGCAACAAATCAGAGAGTTTGATATTACACACCATGACTTTCCTTGAGTGGCCTGAAAATAGCTCATGCTTTACATTTAGAAAAAAATATGATGAAGCTGTCCATCTAAATGGATAAAGTCTTCAACTAGCCAGCATGGAGAAAGAAGGGTGAATTTTAAAGATTGCTCGTTATAAGTAGCGAAGAGTTTTTGTGGTGTTTTTTGTTTGGCTGAACTGTGTAATTACATAAGTACATGATCATCAAAGGAGTGCCACAGTAAATTAGATTTT